GTAATTCTAGTTTCATTCTAGCGATATGGAAATTTGGATTTTTTCCGAGACAAGTGTGTGTGATGACTTTTCAGTCTTGTACAAACCAGACACAGAGTGACTAACGACTGTTTTCTGTTCAGGATGGACAGTTTTTGGAAGAGCATCCCTGTGTCACCCAGACACAGACTCCAACGCGTCCAAGTAATGACACCGAGACAGCGGCCGGGGTCGGATCATATCCTAACCCCTTAACTCCTCCACATGTGATGTAAAGGAGGCATCGGTACTTGGGGGGCTGGTGTCCAAAAATAGCTTTTTGTTCACATGGAAACCATCCAAATGAGATGGAGAGGAAAGAGGAAGACATGGGCGAGAGTGAGGGAAAAAGAAGAGATTTAAGAAATTAAGGGAGAATACAAGAGATAAAGAGAGAAGAGGAGGAGGGGAAAAGGAAGAGAGGTGGAGAGGGAGGACAGGAGGAGATGAGTAGGAGAGAGGAAATTAAAAAAGAAAGAGCGGAGAGGAGATGAGATGACAAGATGAGAGGAGGAAACATCAATAAGAGATTTTTTTTTTTGCCTTTTTAATATTCTCATGTTTGTTGTGTCTCCAATTTTTCAAGCTCCCTTTCAAAATAAGTTTCTGACTTTAACAGGACCTTCCTGCTTAAATAAAAAAAAACTAAAAAACATTTCTAAGTATAAGGATGGGACTGTTCAGGTGCCAAAAATCCAGAAGACAGAAGAAACGCTGCTTCATTCATCTTATTGGGCTCAATTACTGTTTTTGCCCTGGGTTTTGCCCATCAGGCTACACCCCCCTCCCTCTGACAGGTGGAGGCTGTTAGGACTGCAGGCGCTACTCAGGTCTGGGAACATATTTGCCACTTCCTGAGTGATGAAAAAAAAAAAAAGAATAATCTAATCGACATTTTGATTTATTTTACCATCGAGAATCAAATGCAGCGTTATCTATCAGTGCTGCAAGATGTGATCTTAAGTAGGGTTGGTACATTTATGATACAGCAGTTTTTTAGAGAATTGTATTTTTATTTTTTTATTTTTGAGAATAAAGTGTCGAGGCCAGTGTAAAGCTTCCTGTCTGACCTCATTTATCTTTGCCATAAATCATTCGAGCCTCGAGCACAAGCGAACGCAGAGCAGCGTCCTCAGAGCCAGGAGGGGATGAGGAGACGCAGAAAACTCCTCAGTGTGACACATCACCAGGATTTCCTCCTTCACCTGGGCTACCAGCCTGGATTTGAGGATTGAGTGAATATAATGAGGTCTGAGGTGTGTGTGTGTGTGTGTGTGTGTGTGTGTGTGTGTGTGTGTGTGTGTGTGTGGAGGCACAAGGAGAGAGAGCGAGCGAGCGAGCAAGCGCGGTAATTCCCAGGCTCGAGTTCAGGCGAAGGTTTATATTCCTTCAGCCGACGCTCCGATTCCCAGCGACTTAACAACAGATCCAACGGCTGGATTGAGTTTAGATCCTGACTTTTCTCTCACTGCAGACAGCAAAGGTTACAAGAGGTACAAGGACAAAAAAAAAAAAACACATCAAACCTTTGTCAAACGTTCACACATTAGGAGAGAAACAAGTTTATAAAGGTCCCTTGAATTCTCCTCACTTTTTGTGGAAGGAAATATAGACTATAATGATACAACAGCTACTGTGTCATACGTTTCCATGAGAGGATGAAGTCGTTCTTAGTCTGGAGCATCTGAGTGGATATTTGTGGGAGCCAGTGTGAACGTCATGTCAAGCTAGCAAGCTAGGCTAACTGGATTTGTCTTGGAAAGTAGAGGATGGTTAGCCTAGCTTGCTGAGTTCCAGACGATGGTAAACTCGGACACTTCTGAGCGGGAAAGACCAAGTTCTGTATAATAACGGCTGCCTGCAGTAACAGCGTTAAATCAATAACCTTAATATGTAGTGGGCTAATATCAATTACTACAAATGTCTTTGCTAAAACTGGCAACTTCACTAATATATTAAGAATTTAAATATATCACATACAATAGTAAATGATGCTAAAATTAATTAAAAAGCAACCTGTTGATAGGTTCAAACCATTTTTTCCGAGTTCAAGCTTTTAATGTCGGACTTTCCGTCATGTCATGAACAAAGCAATTCATTTCATTCGTGTTATTTCAACCCCTGCTCAGCCGCTTCCACACAGTCAGTGCTGTGTTCATGTTGCATCACTGAACCCTGCAACCCTAACCCCCCCAATTAGGCTCAAACGTATCAGTCTGCCTAAAACCCATGTGTTGAGTGAAGCGATATAACAGACTCTTTATTGCTGCCCACACAGATACACTACTGCAGTGCTATGTTACAGTGCAGCCAAACTAACTACGGGCTGAGAGGACTCATCACCTAAAGCTATTTTAAGAAAGAAGACGGTCAACAATTTTCCTACTTAATCGAAAATATTCTGAAGTGGACCGTATCACTTTTGATGTACTGTAATCTAGAAGCTGTGTACGCGTGGAATTATCACGATTAAAGGAGACTTTCATCTCAATAAGCATAAAATGAAGCAAATATGATTGAAAATCTTTCTGACATGAAAAAAAACTGCTTCCCAAAGTGTCTCAATATCATTTAAATGTTCTCATAATGAGACACTTTGTTCTCACTTGAGTTAACCTTCAACGCCTCCTGGACTCGCTTCTGCCCCTAAACTTTCATACGTTCACACCAAGTGACAGTGAGTAGGAGGAGAAACAAAGCGGAGACTGTATGAGCAATAAATCTTCTCCTGTCCCCAGAACTCTGCTCAGATGTGATAAGATAAATGTTTGGGAAGAAATAAAAGCTTTTTTAAAATGAGCTAGAATCAGGTGATACTCAAGGACAGAGCAGCAGAGCGGACTTTGTTTCTTCTCATTGTTTCATATTTCATACAGTATAACCGCCAGATATTTTTGCGCATTTTCTTTCCTTTGTTTTTCACTTAACAAATCTCAATGTTGGATGTGTCTGATGAACAAGTATGTTCTGTATTTAAACTTGTCTTACTGTTTTCCCCAAGAACATGCTGCATATCAGGAAATTTAGAGAGTATACCCATATATATATGGAATATATATTAGGTTTAAATTCAGCCTGAGGAGCGCAGAAGACGACACAAGAGGGATCTGAGGTCTGTTACTGTACAGAGGCAGAGAGTCTCGGTGGATTAACCTCCCAACACACAACAGACATATACACAAGGAAGAAAAAATGGAACATCCTACTGCTCTGCTTTAGATTTGTTTTCACATTGTGTCCATAACAAGCAGTATTAAAAACTTGAGTAATCTTGCTTACTTATTCTTAGATCATACTGGTTTTAATCCTAGCTTTACTAATTTTAGATGTTGCTTTTTCAAGTTTATTCATAGAGGTCATTATAAGGCAATTCAAAGTTCTTTAGATTAAGCAATAAAACATTCAGCATTAAACAGAGGACAGAAACGATTTTTAAAAGGAAATTAAAAAGATAAAAATACTAAAATTTAAAGAAACAACTCATTGGGCCTGATGCCAGAGCATTTTCCTTTTCTCATCCTTAACCTCTCTCACTTTTGTCTGTGAGGTTCGTCCACATGATTGAGCATTAGAGGACATGATGCAGTTAGAAATTTAATAGTGCAGCTACCCATGAAGAGTTATCAGATCAGTGCTGGAAGTGAAATAAAGAGAGAATGGTTAAACTGCTAAATAACATCCTTCTAAAGCAAAGTGGTGCATGATGAGAGGCAGTGAAGGGGACGTGTCAGTCACTGAGATATAAGATGACAGTCGACAGCAGGTGATGTTACACAGAGGATGAGGCTGGACAGAGAGCTGCAGAAAGACCCTGAGACAGCTGTCAGAGTCAAAGAACTGTAGATGTTCCTGGCCAATAATATTCTTAAAGAAAATGATTGGCAGTCATGATGTTAATGACAATGTGGTGAACAGAATATTATTGCTGCATTAAGTTTGTCCAAGTTATATATTTTATTTTTGGTGAGACTCGGTGCCATATTTGAAATCCAAATTCATTCAGATGTTCAAAAAAAAAAGTTCAAAATTCTAACAAATTCTCTTCAATCACTGGCAGGAGTCACTTAAGAACAAATCTGTTTGTAATTAGGCCCAGTTATTTGGCGACTTCATCAAATAAATACAACAGGTTTTAAGATATAAATTGCATTTATGTAAGTTAAAGATAGATATTTAAAAAGTATTGTTTTGGCATCAGTAATGAAACTTGTACCAGTGTCAAAAAATTACCAAGATAATCCTCTGCCTTACTTCTATGTGTCGACTTTATTTATTTATATTCTTTGTTGCAGGAGCAAGGAAATATGCTTTAGATGCTTATACTGTAATGATACTTATATGTATATGGATTTACATAACAAGAAAATAAACTACTTTATCTGAGACAAACAGTCAAATGACGCAGCAGAGCAGACATCATTTGAGTGTTTGAAACATAGATGGGTGAGGAGGTTAAATAAAGTTACTGAAGCATCTGAACTCGTGATCCTGAAATCACTGATTCATCAAGAGCCTATTCTACAGGAAAGTAAAAGTCAAACAATCATCATTTGAAGATCCTGTTTGATTATAAACTCTTTGATAAAAACAGGTGGATTCTGGGATACCAGAGCTACTGTGTGTTGCCCCGGTAACAGTGACCCTCATTCTCCAAGGTGGAGGGAAAGTTTGATGTTGCGAGATAAGTGGTTTACTTTTCTGATTGCCTTGAGAGAAAAGCACCGGCGCTGCATGCATAATTGATTGAAGGGGAAATATTGTGTGTTGAGGTTTGGTGTATTAACAAGGTCACCTCCACACTACAACAGTCCTCACCCCAGGAAATCAAATATTTGCCGCAGAGCATCCCTTCATGTCACTTCCACAATCGATGTGGAGAATAATAAATGACAGTGAAAACAAATCACACAAAGTCTTTGGTTCCAGCTGTCCCAGGCTGAACTCTGTGTGGTAGTATGTGTGTGTGTGTGTGTGTATAGTACCTGTCCAGGTCTTCACTGTCCTGCATGTTGAACAGCATGGATGGGATCAGTTTGTCCATGTGCTGAGGCTCCCAGATGATGGCCTGCAGCTCGTCGTTCACCGTTTTCCTCACCACGCCCTGCAGGCCTTTAATCCCCGCCACACGGATCCTGACCAGGACACACAGACCGTTAGACACTCAGGAAAATATCCTCCCTCCAAACAAACTCTACAAGTGGTTAGCAATGGAAGTACAAAAACACTAACACACACTACATAGAAATCTTTTTGTTGGTGGATTTCGTTGTAGACAGTGAAGGTCTGAAGATTTGATTATGAAAGTTGCGTCTCTCCTTTTTTTGACATAATAATAAAATTTTCTTTCATTCATTCATTCATTCATTCATAAAACAAGTAGAAAACACAAGGTGGAGTGTCCTAACAGGAAAAACAGCAGCAGCAGATTATTTGTTTGAACATGTTTATGCTCTCCCTCTGTGCTGATGAAAGTGTATCTGTCCTCCAAGCTGTGATGACAACACTGGTAATTTGTCTCTGAAAAGAATTCGGGAGGTGTTTGTTTGGACTGACGTGCACTCACAGTGTGCGACACCTGTGATTCCTCCTCCTGTATTCACGTTGGTTCTTTTTAACCACGACCACAATCTTTCTCTAACTTTAACCAAAGTTTTTGTTGTTTAAACTAAACCTAAACGGACCTCAGTCACAGAGGTGGCTCACATCAGAAAACACAGAGCTTTATGGAGGACACTGATAACATATCTATTTTAAACTGTAGGTCTAAAGATGCTAACATACTGTAGCCAGAAAAGCAAGAACTACTTGACTTAGCACACTACATGCTAGCATGTTAATGTAATGTAATGTTTAGCATTTTCCCTATTAACGTGTACAGTGACCATGGAAATATGCTACTGGTTCATGTTGCTATAGCCTATGCTAACATTAATATTCTACACACGTTAATATAGCATTAACATAATTTGATGTTTCTAATGTTAGCATATTACTGTATACAGTGACCATAGTAAAATGTTAACAAAGTCACTTTACACAATGTTGTTAATTTAATTTAGCATTTAGAATCTTAGCATGTAAACGTAATGCAAAGTTTAGCATTTTCTCTATTAACGTGTACAGTGAGCATAGCAACATGGCACTGTTCATGTTCACATGCTAACGTTAGTATGCTACACGGCTGTTAACATAGCATTAACATAGAGACAAGTTTGGCATATTACTGCACAGTGAGGGTTATAAAATGTTCATGTTTAGCATGTTACCACAGTCACTATACAGAATGTTATCATATTAATGTAATTTAGCATGTAGTATCTCAGTATGTTAACATATTAATGTAATGTAACATTTAGCATTTTCTCTATAAACATGTGCAGTGTATTAGTATATTATATATAGCATATATATATATCTGTATAGCATATTATTGTAGACAGTGAATGTGATAAAATGTTGATTTTTAGCATGTTACCACAGTCACTGTACAGAATGTTGATATATTAATGTAATTTAGCATTTAGCATCTTAGCATGTTAACATGTTCATATGTTGGGTCTGAGCTCTGCCTCGTGAGCTGGACATCAAATATTTCGGATTTTGGTTGCCTATCAATTCATTATATTATATTATAAATTTAGAAAATGTTAATATTAAAATATGAATATTAAATAATAACTTCAAAATTAATTAAAGTCCTCCGGGCACCAGCCTAAAGTAATAGGCAAAATAGCCAATATGGTTTTAGTCTCAATTATTACCATTAATCTGGAACTCTGATTAACCATTATCTTACTAACCAAAACCAAATTACCATATCAGCAGTAAGTTAAAGTTGAAGGATTGGAATTCTACAAAGTAGAGGTTGGCAATAGCATCATATTACTACTGCTTGGCGAGTGTATATGGTCATGTTAGCATGCTGCCACACAATTCCACGTCTAGCATATAGAGATAATCATGTTGCTATGCTCAGTGAGGATGTTCCAATGACAATGTTAGCATGCTATGTTAGCATTAATCTCAAAGTTCAACTGAAGTGGATATTCAGTTGCTATGTCAAAGAAAAGACATTAGCATTCATCCTCTGGTATAGATATCCATGGTCTCCAAATTTCAAGCCCATCTAAAAGCTGCTATGTGGCTTGTGTGTTAATGGGAATAACTGGAAACTTGGTTTGACATTACAGTGAATGACCTGAAAATATTGAGTAATAGTAATCCAGTTTTTCCCAAGTCCCTGTTTATCTGTTTTATGACTCGCTGTGGTTTGAGAGTTTTTCATATTGTAAAGCAGCAGGCTCGACTCACTCCCTCAACTTCAACTTCCAACTCTCATCTGATGTGTGAGGGAAAACAACTCAACGTAATAACACTTTGTTTTAATATTATTTCCAGCACTAACACATACTGAGGCCACACACACGCACACAACCATGCACTCTCCAGTCTCTCCAAGACTCTCTCTGCCAGACAGAAACGCCTCAACAGAGTCTGCAGAGCAGGACTGGTTTCTGGACCAATCAGAACCCGGGGTGTCTGACTTCACTGTTTTCCTGTTTCTGTGTTTCCGACAGAGACATCGTATGAGCAACGATATGAAAAATAGGGCGGGTGACCTCGCCTTAGGCCTAATCCAATAACCGCCAGAGAAATTCTATTTGGGAATTCATCTCCACCTACAGCGAGACGGCAGCGAAACGAATAATGAAATACAGGAAAGAAAAAAAGCAAAGTGAGAAGTCATACTGTTTACAGCGTGGCGGCGGCGAGGTATCAAGCCAACTCGAAAATAATCCCAGCATCCCCTGGCTCTCACCATACCACCCACCCCCAACATGCCTGCACACGCGCGCGCACACACACACAAAAACTAAATAATAGTGTATTTCTATGCACAAATATGCTCAAAGACATCAGCACTCACACGGGTCTCAGCTGCTGCAGTGACATTCTGGCAAATAACTGCAGTAATACCAGAGGAGAGGAGCTATTTTCACAATGAAAGAGAGAGAGAGGAGTCTTCAGGTATTGTTTTAATACACTGCTGATCTGATCTGGAGTCAGAGGGTGGGTGTCGCGGTGGGAGCAGGCGTCTTGTAAAGCGCTGCGCAGTGTCACAGCCTCGCCTGAGACTCACCGCCGCCACCGAGCTATTTTTACCTTCTTAATACTCCGGCTGGCAGAGAGAGAGAGAGAGAGAGAGAGAGAGAGAGAGAGAGAGAGAGAGAGATTCTGCGTTTTCATAAACAATGAAAGATTATGTTTGCCTGACATCTGTCTCCACAAACAAACTCATTCTTCTCTTTTTAGAAACAAAACTGTTGAACTGCTGATACAAAATTGCTGCACTTGCATGGTGAATAATAAAGCCTGCAGAAGAATTTATTTTGGTTTTTGTTTTTTTTTTTCCATTTATTTATTTCACTGACAAGCTTTTCAAAATTCATCTGCTGAGTTGCTCTATTTTGTTGACTCTTGCTGAAATAAATGAGTAGGACAAAAACATTTGTCAGATTAACGTTAAGTTTCAGTTTGACTCATGACTATGAAGAAGAAGAAGAAGAAGAAAAAGAAGAAGAAGCATAGTGGTGTTTACAGCAAGTTGTGACAACTGAGTGAACTCTGGTTGCTGTTCCTATCTGTTCACAGCATGTTATCCAAACAACGTATTTATTTACATCCCTGCTTCAATTCACAACGGAAGTTATCTTAAAGCACTTTTCATATAGAGCAGGTCTAGACCGTCTCTTTGTAATATTATTTACAAAGACGCAACAATTACCACCGGGAACAAACACTTGGCGACAGTGGCGAGAAAAAACTTCATTTTAAGAGGCAGAAACCTCAAGCACAACCGGACTCGGGGTGGGCGGGGCCATCTGTCTCGATCAGTTAGAAGACATGTCGGGTTCACCGACACTCTAGTTTTTGGATATCAACCAGTCCTAGTAAGTAGGTGAGCTAATATAGCAGGTGATCATCTGATTGCTCATGTTATTCATATTTCAGTAATGCTGCTGCAATCCCTGATATCAAGCACAAGCGATTATCTTTTTGAGTACAATGTTTATTATTACTGCTCTTGTAAAATGGTGTCTAATAGTATATTAATTAATTAGAGTATAATTTGGTGTAATAGTGTCTAACTATCGTTTAATTTGGATCTAATATGTAATTATAGGCTGTTTCTAATTGCAGCATAATTTAGGTGTAGCCTCTAAAAAGGAACTATGTTTGTCTACTTTCTAGTAAAGAACATATTAATACAAATGACGTCTTGTTACGTCATGTTAGTGCGCATTAAAATAAAGTGCAACCATACTAATTGGGAAAATGCCAAAACTATGACAAATAAGAAGTGGTCTCAGACTTTTGGACCCTACTGTTTATAATATCAACATATATTGACAAGCTCTGGGAAGGATATATATTCATGTAAAATATGGCAGCAATATAAGCATACATACATAAACATTTATGTCAATATATAAACTTGTTCCAATTTCTAATAGGTTTCATTTATATTTTTTACATACATTTATTTTATATGTACATATATACTATATATGGAAGTTCAATATATGTACATTTATTACATTTGCATATGGGGAAATTAGACTCTCCCTGAATCTGCGTCTGGATCATCTCAGTAAATCAGGTCCAGGTAAAAAACAGCTGGACCCCAAAGTGCAACATTCTTACTTAGACTGCATTTTTATTAGCTTCATGTTTATTAAGCTGCAGGTGCAATTGCCCTCATTATCCCAAAGGGGCAAATTGAAGTTTCAAATTGTATTCGCTCAGAACTGCGAGTGAAGCTATTTTGAATAGGGAGAGCACATTAAACCCATGACACGGGCAGCGAGGGAGACATCACGGGCAGGTAAACCCATTCCTCTGTGAATCACCTCACGTTCTCACATCATTCAAGGCCAGCTATTCTCTAACACTTCATTTCATCATCACGTCTCCCACATTCTCATATTTCAATCCCGTGAGCGCGGTGAGACACTCCTATGGTGGTGTTAGTGAGCCATGTGGTCACAGTGGGAGGGGAAGGTCATGAAATACGGATCAGGAGGAGATAATATATAATTCCGTATTCACTTGATTCAAGTGGGATGAGACTTGTGCTGGTGGGGATTGTATCACAGCCCCCCCCCCCGGAGTCTTCCTCAGCAGGAAAAAGGCTAGTAAGTGGAGCTTGAATTACGGTTTTTCTTCAGACTCCTGGTCCCAAGGTGAAGAATAACCTTTTACTCTGAAATTCGGCTCTAACTGGATGTAGGAAACGCTTGGAGCATGTCTGTCTTCTTACCTTGTCCTGGTCTCAGCATCTTCATGAGTTGAGTGGCACATGGCGCTGAACTGAGACACAAAGAAGTCGTAGCGGCGATGATAGGACGGCGTGTCCTCCTCGATGTTGGCAAACTTCACAAACTAGGGAGAGGAGGAGGAAACATTTATTAACCTTCTTTCGTCTCAGGACCTCAGAGCAGAGATGAGACATGAGATCAGTGGTTGAGGTTTCTTTTGAACGAAGTGTTCAAATAAACTTTCCAGTCATTGTTTGTTGCACACAACATATCACATATCACATTTTAACGACAACAGCTGCAGCATCTGCCCACCGTCTTTAGCTGGGGTGAGATGTTTAAGCTTACAAGGAAAAAATCTGAATGGCAGAATAGAAAGTGCTTTGTCAAGAAAAACCATTGGTCAAAACCAGGAAGTGCAAACCCAAGAAACTAATGAAAAACTCACTCTAGAGAGAAAAACACAAAGCTTACAGAGCATGTGAAAAGATTGTGGTGAGAAAAAATATATAACTACATATTTGTGTTTTAGAGGAAAATAAACACACAAAAAAAAAAGAATAGAAACTGTTGTGACACTGATGTTTAGTATGTGTATTATCACAATAATATCATAATTTTAATAATATCACAATAAATTTTTGTAAAATGTTGCTGTCTTCTTCTTAGAGCTCGTTGAAAGGCAGCTACTGTTTTACGAAGCTGACGTTGAATAACGTTGTCATCAACTAATAATTGTGACCTACTGATGGTATTTAAGTATTAAACAAATTATTCAACTTGACAACTATTGAAGAGAAATGAGTTTGGCATTCAGGTCGGCAAATAGTCAAATGAAAAACTGTCCTCTGTCCACCTAACAGTCCACACTGATTCTCAGCTACTTCAGATCAGAGATACTGACTGCTAATTGTGTGACCTCTCAACAATAGAGAGACACTCTGTGGCACCAGTAACACAATGACCTGCACGACGTTCCCAGTCACTTAAAAATACAGTTGTATCCTTGCATGGCCTTGAACTGGAAGCGATGGTGGTAATGATAATAACCATTAGAGAACTGCCCTCTTTTGTCCAGCCTAGTAATTTCCTCCCTCCAAACAAGCGTGGAGTGTCCTCTGGAGAGGCCTCCTCTCCCGGCTGCGCTCCAGTTGCTGTTCTCGCTACCCTATCATTGTCCACTGCAACAAATTGCCTCTGTACAGTTTGGCACCGGTGACAAAAACCCTGCCGTTCCACCTGATCATTTCCTCTCATTTTGTACCTAACCTCTCCTGGGGGTAATGGCTCAGATGGAAGGAGACGCGCTAGCAGCTGGAGCACAGGAGAGTGGTTTCCCCTCAGCAGCCATGTTACTGCAGAGGAGGAGGGAATCCAGGCGTTAGACATACATGGCGCTAATTACTGGCTTGTGTTTATGAGGTGCTGAGGGGAAACTCTGGTCATGACTTGTGTGTGGGTGTTGTGCGGGGGGCCCCCAGATGGATTTACTTTGGCTTTATTCAGTCATAAAAGTCAGAAAACATTATACATATATATATACACAGTGCTGTGAAAAAGTATTTGCACCCTTACGGATCATTTTTGCCTGCAACTTCTTATTTCATTAATATCTTAATGCTGGGGTTCTTGATTAGCAACTGATGATTACTTCTAATACGAAGGGAATATTCTATCTGATAACAGACCTGCATGCAACATTTGTGAAAATCCTCTGCGGAGGCCGCGTGTGTTTCAAAAGGTGTTTTTCAGTCTTTGTCTCAGGAATGTCTAAGAGGTCAGGTATGATCCAACTGCAACCAATCAGCAACCAACTCGCAAATTACAAACATAACTGTAGATCACAGTGTTCTTTCAGCTGCTGCTTTCACTTCACCTCCAGTTGTCTAAGGCTTCGTTCACACACCTGATAACTATCATAACCCTCATTCATCTGAAAGGGTCTGCTGCTGCTGCTGCTGCTGCTGCTGCTGCTGCTGCTGCGGGCTTTGGGGAAAAAAAACAAAAAAAAAAACGCAGTGTCCTCTGTTGAACCTGCCAGTCAAGGTGACAAATCAAGTACTTGCAGGTGCATATGGCTGGTAGACGATTCCTCTTTCGCTTGAACAGCTTGTTTCCTCTGTTTCTGTGCAGTGTTTTCAGTCTGATAAACCCACCATCTACCACATTACTCACACTGGACTTCCTATTCCATCATCTTACTTGCGGTGGCGATCCTAGACTCTGGGGGTGGTGGGCCCCTGGCAAAGAAGCCCAGAACAATTCACAGATGTTCCCTGAATCCCACACATGCAGGCAATGGGTAGACACCTATAGCACACATCATCAGGCGCCCCATTTGAGTGGGGTTTGGGGGGCAACAGCAGTGCGCTGCATAGCATCTTTACGGGATGTTTAAGGTGGGGTTTATAGTTGTCATTGCAAAATGTGCCAATAACAGGATCGGGGCCATCGGGGGCCCATCCTCCCAATGGGTGCCCCAATCACTTGCCTGGTTGCCCTCTTGTACCTGAAGCAGCACGTACCCACCAACGCAGCTCCTTGCACCATTTTAATGCAGGGCTGTTTTCCTCCTGAACGCCCATTAACTGTGTCTGATGAAGGACTGTGAACGCCTTTTCATTTCTGATGATTATCATTTTAATAGCAGAATATTAGCATAATGTATGCCTGACTTTTATAATGGGAAAATCAACATATTCATATATATATATATTCATTTCAAAGATCCTCCACAGATCCACAGTAAAACAGGCAGAATGAGGACAACAGACTGGGCTATATATATATATATATATATATGTATATTATGCATATGTCAAGGTATCAAGCTAAATCACATTAATTTAAAGTGATGAAAGAAAATAGAAATAAAATAAAATAAAAAAGTTGCTTATTTGGGAGGGGCGTGCTCACAGCTAGCTGCTGCTGCTACTACAGAGGTGCCAGGCTTGTACTATCCACCAAATGAATGTGCCACAATGCACTGCAAAATAACATTAAAGATTTGTGTATCCTGATCATTTTCAGCATTTAACTTGTTAAAAAGACACTTAAGACAATTTGAACCATTTCCAATTCGCTTTAATTTGAGCAGAGGAGTGAAGCCTTTCACATCGAGAGGATTTAAAAAGAAAAGTGCCTAATTCTGGCTGCAACTGAGGTTTCATCATGTAAATAAGACTAATCAAAAAGCGACAGGCTTCATGCCTCACCGACGCCTCACGGCAAAGCAGTTAGGATTTCCAACAATGAGGAAACGAGAGGGTGACACAAACACTGGCACAATTTGTTTTGCTTCCCCTCAGGCAATTTTAAAAGAGCTGAATTAAAAAAAAAATAAATAAAAAGGTGTCATTAAAAAGTCCTGTGAAATGGGCTGGTTTTACTTATCTGTGCACACTGAAGTGGTAAAGAGTGAAATCCATTTACACAGTCATCGCCAGTGTGCCACTTTGGTTAAATTAGTCATTGGCCAACACCTTTTAGAGCAGATCCACTGTGAACTTTTTAACTCTAACCACCAATTAGGTCTGTATCCAATCAAGATGATGTATTTAAATTGATGCAACAAGTGAAAATCCATCTTAAGTTTTGTGAATCAAACATTCATTTCCTGGTACATTAAAAGGTGGCTGTAAACGGTTTCCAGTTTTTCCAAGAACAGAGGTCGACGGCTCTTACATGAGCGCTCAGACTAAAATACAGCTATACGGAACAGAGTGAGTATATAGATGGATAAAAAAGAAGCAGAATAAGCTGCAGGAGCACTTCAAGGTCCCATATAGTCTGAAGGTAGATGTCCATGTGTCTTTTAAATCAGGTCTAGGTTCTATATTAATATTAAATACTGACCTGTTGTTACTAGAGCTACAGAGTGAAGCATGAAAGATGTAAAACTACACTGAGATGGTTTTAGGTTCTTAAAACCACAAATATATCTTCTTATGGATCAACACTTCAAAATAAAACACTGGAAATGTGTAAAACATGTGACCTTAAAGAAGTTTCTTTACTTTTGGACATGTTGATAATCTTGTGAAAACTTGAAGGATCCACCGCAACCGACACAAAGCCTGTTTGAAAATCACCTGCAACCTATTTACAGCCCTCAGACCTACAGGACGCTAGAGTTTAGATTAGACTTTGACTTCTGCAATGTGTGTAGGCCACTGAGGTGGACTTCTCAAAGCTTTCACACAGCTTCAGTCATAACCTTAGCTTTTGACTAAAAGTCTAATCAGTTTGTCCTTGAGTCCAAGTGAAGGCTTGCTCCGGCTGCCGCGGCACAGAGGTGTGAAAAGAAAACATGGCGTGTGACTGGCTGCATCCTGTGCTTTGGGCTTCTTGTTTTCATTTCTAGTGGCTCTCCTCCTGCTACATCTCCATCCATCTCCACCTAGCATGGATGTCATTCTATACGACGCTGCTTCATCAAACATCAACAAAAGAAGGAAAAAAATCCATCAATCTGAAAAACTCAAACAGGTTTTTTCTGGTTCACCATGGACCCTGCTGGAGTGTCACTGTGAGGGGGAGGAGGCTGACTGTAGCCTGCAGGGATTATCCACTGACATCAGTTTTGATTAAAGTCATGAGTGAAGAATATTAAAAAAGGATAATACGTATATGTAGCAGAGCACAAGTGTTAACCGAGGCCCTGCCTATACCTCCACCCATCACTGCTTAATTTCCTGTATCTCCACCATACGTGCCACGTCTGCACTTTTTGGAGGCAACTATCAGAAACCCTGGCATCTGCACTTTATCACAGCAGCGTGCGGACGCCTGCTGCTGCAGACAGAGTCGTAAGAGGCTGCTGCCTCCCGAGTCCTGACTCAGGTAACGATGATGAAGACCTGCCGGGTCTGTTAACGGGTAGACTGGGAGTTTTTGTTTACCCTCAGTTCTTGTTTGTGCTGAACGATCATCAAAAACCTCCTCTACAGCTGCGACTGGACTGAAGTTCAAGGTATTTACTGTAGTTTCATCTACAGTCATCAAAGCTGGACCAATCAGGTTCTTTTCAGGATCAAATAACTGTTTCATAGTGATAAACTCAGCTCTCCACAGCTTTTTTACTTGAAGCTGGGCAGTAAATAAACATCCTTTATATCATTTCAT